TAAGTTTGCTAACACCTAACTACCAAACTAACATCGACAGGTCTGTGTCGTCCCACCAGACTTCAGCTGGAAGGAGACAAAGACGTGTGACACAGTCGGGTCACAGTCGTTCTTAATGGTTAGCAATTAGCTGTTCGTGTTAGTTTCAACCGGCTTTTACATGCTTCGCAGTTYAGCATTGGCATCCACTAATTTTTAGGTGTTAGTGTTAGCATCCACAATTTTTTAACATTTAGCAGAAGCTTCCAATAGCATTAGCTTCCGTAATTTTAACCGTTTGGTTAGCTGTGCCCATCACTGACGTTGCTAAAGAAAATKTTGGTCAAACACAAACTTATTGTTTTCTGTGATCTGCCTTCTCAGTTGTTGTGCATGAGCTCTGCCATGCATCTGGTGGCTAATGAATATCTTCAAGAAGACAAGCCTCATAAACAGCAACTCTCCAGCCATTTCTTTTTGTTTCTAAGTAAATTAAAGTGAGACAATAACTCTCGATCCAAGCTTTGTTATTGAATTACATCCGACATCCTCTCCAGAGACCATAATTCACAGTGTACTAAAAGGCTTAAGTGAAGTTCAGCAAGAACAAATTAGTTTGTTTTGTGCTTATCTTGTAACTGGGCTGCTTGGAAGGGAAAACCAATTTAGAGCTTGTTTGGGAAAGTAGTGTGCTGCAACGATTACAGGCCACTCTGTGTTGTCCCTCATGGAGGTTTCTTTTGCTTTAACGTAGGTTTTACTTCCTCCCAGTCAGATCTTTAATCTTGCTGTGAAAAAACGTTTGTACCTTTACAGTGTTTTCAAGCACAATTGTCTTTTTATCTCTGGCCTGAGGACAAAAGCCACTGAGGGTAAATTGATGCACAATCAAGAAAAAGAAAAAGTTGTGGTGGAAGAATTCGCCGTGGGGTAGAATTACTAATCTGAGCAAATTAGCAAATAGTGGGTGCCAATCATAAAACATGTCAACATCCTAAACCTTGAATACTAGGCTGCCTCCAGAAATATTTGAATGGGAGATGGCCAAAATGGTGGCACCAAAACCAAAATCTGAAACAGATTTTCAGGATATATGTTGTCATATAGAGATTGTATGGATCCACTACGGATTAGTCACTTACTGAGAAAAGCGCTGTTACAGCTGAACCTATTGAAGCTTGTCCTCTCCTAAATTTATATTTATTAAAAAATATTTATTTAAAAAATATATATACATACATACAGTATAACTCTATTTGTTTTTATGTTTATAACATTCTGCTAATCCTAATAGCTAGGAAATTAAAAATTCACACCAAGAAAAAGCTTGGAACTTAAGGTTAAAGTTGTCCACAAGAGGGGGGCCATTAATATTTTTAATGTTGACCATTGCCACCTGTAGCCCCCCCCTTGGTTTCACCCCTACAGTAATTAGCAAAGTTCACCAGGTGCAGTGCAGATTTGTTTTAAAGGTCAAAAAGAGACAACACAGGCAGTTTGTTTCCTGTAAAGTATATAAACATAAAAAAATTTAAATTTCATTATCTTCAACCAACATTTTTTTTGTAGGTCTACTATAAATAACTTTACTCATGCCCTTACATTGTATATATACACTTGCCTCCTGTAGACTGAAAATGAGGACAGGACTCAGAGCTCTAATGTAACGTTATCATGGAGGAGGCCGAGTGTCTTAATGCAACCCAGGCGGTCGGAATAGATTTCAGTGGAAACATCCGTCCTCTCAGTGGTCGTTGACTTGCGGTTTAGCGGTACCATCACATCTCCTAAGGTGATTTTGCTAACTGAATTTCCTGTTTGAGGTTTCCTGTGGTGAAAGCGATTGTGCTGTTGTCATGAGAAGACAACACTCAGTTTCTAAGGAAACAAGAGCTCACAGGCCTCGTTTGCAACACTTTCAGGCAGATGTGGTTGTCACAGTGACTGCAGTTGTTTGTGCTGGTTAAAACTAGTAAGCACTCACTGGTGAGCCACAACAATACTGGTTGTTCTTAAAGTGCGGTTGTGGGTCTCTGAGTGCATCCGTTCATGTTTGAGGAGTGTAAGTGGTGTTTAAGTGTAATTTTTAAAATAATTTACTCATAATGAAGAGTTAAGGGATAGTCGGGTCATAATTTTTGGTATTTTGTCAAATAATTATTGAAATTTAGGCCCTCTCGGTTGTGATATCAGTCACAGGGTGTGGAGAAAGGGTGTGAACATTTTTTGTTGCAGGAAAGGTCAAAGGAAAGGTGTATAAAAGACAGAATGGTTTTGAGACAAAAAGACGAGACAGAATTGGAAGTGACAGAGCTGATGTTGAGGTTCTTCTTTGGGAGTGACGAGAATGGATAAAAACGAGATCATCAGAGGTACAGCACAGGTTTTAGGACTGGGAGATAAAGATGGAAAGGCCAGACTGAGAGGGTTTGGACATGTCCAGAGGAGGGACAGAGAAGGGATGCAGCTGCCAGGAAAAAGACAGAGGAGACATATGGATGCAGTTACATAGCTGGAGTGAGGACAGAGTGAGATGGAGCCGAAAAAAAATAGCCATTAGCCTAGCCTGAACCAAGACTGATGTCACGACTGATGAGGTCCTAAATATTAATAACTGTTGGACAGAACATCATTTTGGAAATGACCAGACAATCTTTTCAAGCTTTGCCTGGTTTTCAGGTTTTGGAACCTGAAAGTTAATAAGAGATTAAAAACCTGTTGAACTCTGGTGACTCATGGAAGCATCTGTTCATTTCAGTCAACCACCACCATGTTTTGGTTCTAGTCTTCTGAGGAAAAAAGGAATGGGGCAGTACATTCCTAACCCAACATGAAAGTTTCCTCCTTTTTCCACCCATCCTTTTAGCTTAAAGGAGCCACTTTTTGACGTTTTTTTAGCTACCAAGCCCCCGCCTCACAAATCTGAGTCATTTCCTGCGTAGAATAAACCATGATGTGAATGAAGCGACATTCATATGTCGACTCCCTTCCTATGTGGGTGGTCAAGACAGGAAGCAGACCATGAATTTACTTTCAGCACCAGTAAAAAACACACAAAGATTAGTCACATTTTATTTATGATAAGTGGCTGCTTCTGGCCTCAGAACATGCTGGTAGACCTGGTCCTCAGGCTGACCTGAGGCCGGTGGAGGGCTGTCACTGAAACTCACTGTTCATCCTCCACAGTCTAATAATAAATTCCACACATCACAGGATTTACAGTCAGTGAGGAAAATTTGCCTCCCAAATTGAGTTTAGAGTCTTCATTATCTGTCTGCAGATGGGAGTCACATTGACGGCGCCCTCATTACAATTTTAGATCAACTTTTAGCCCCAGACTGTCTACTGAAGCAGATAATGAAAACAAAACAAAAAAAAAAGGTGTCAGTTCTTCTGTTTTCTTGCAGTGGGTTTATCTGTTTCGTTTATCAGGAATAAACCACACAAGTCTCAGCAGCAGTGACACAACGTGCGCCGCCACCCCTGCTGCACTCGCCTTGTGGTTTTCTAACTGACTGATCTGATCGTTCATGACAGCCGAAACGCTTCCCCGTTTGCCGTCATGCTTCACGCTGTAAGGACACTTGAGAGTTGAAACGAAAACAGGGCAACACTTGAATGATTGTTCTTTTTTTTTATCTTTTTGGATTGTTGACCAGACATAGAAAAGTGTATGAAGATGTTATTTTATAACACATTTTTACTCACATGGTTGCCACAGTTTGGTTTTGATTTGGCTTTAAAATATCCTGTTTGTTTGAAGCATTCACCATTCAGATATAACTATGAAACATAACATTAATAAGCGATATGCAATCCCGGGACATTCATACTTTAGTCGGGTTGCCATCCCAGAGCTTTACAGTTAATGTAAAAAATAACTCACAACAGAGGTAAAAGTGACAAAAGTGACAGACTTTTGGACAAGTTGTATGGGTACGGAGCCTTATCAAACTTATGGTGCATTTTATTAAAGAAGATTTTGATCTTAATCATATTGTAAATATAACCGCAATCACAATTTTGGTTTTAAAAAAATCACAATTTTGAGTTTTAGCAAAATTGCACAGCTGTAGTTTGAGGCCTCTGGATTGAGCTTGTGTTAAGTATTAAAGTTCCTGTGACGTCAAAGTTTTGCACTACATATGAATGCATTTTTGGAAAGATGATGTTGATAAAATATTACGAAAGAAATTTCATATCACTGAGGTGAACAGTTGTTGAGATAATTGCATGTGAAGTAACAGGAAGTGACGTCAAAGGGGAATGTCTGCATGTGAACAGAGCGTTGTTACAACGGCTAACAACACAGGCTAGAGAAGAATCTGATGGTTCTTTACATTTTAAATCACTATCAGAGAGATGAAAAAGAGTGAGAGTTCAAATAATATTGTTTCAATAAACAAAGACCAGAGAGTTCTCCTTTGATGTCACTTCCTGTTTCACTTTGGTTGAGCCAGGTTCAAAGGAAAATATGCCAGTTATGTGTTATCATCTAAATGTTCTGTAATGATTAAAGATTGATGTGATTCAATAGAATAAAATCAAAATCCTAGCATGACAAACTTAGTGTTATTGAGAAACGTATCGTCATCCAAACAAATCAATACATCATAAGGTGATAAAACTGGTGATTTACACCCCTAGTTTTATGTAGTACTAAGCCTAGTTGGGGTTCTTGCTCTATCTCTCCATCTGAGTGGGGGTCCCAGACTGAAAAAACCATTGATGCACTATATAAACCAGTGGTCGTGCCAGAGACTTTTGACCCTGATTATTGCTGGTTGAAGTGCACAACCGTTGCTATAAAGCAAGCAACTAAAAACACAAACGGCTACAACAGTTTTATTGTCTTGTAACAATTCTTATAAAAATGTGCTCTAACAGTTTTTAAATTGTCGTGTCTGTTGTTCCATGACCAACCCTAACTTTTTGGAAAAGCACTGCTACAGAGAACGTTTTTGTTTCGTTTAAGAGTTGTTTTATCTCAGTGAGTAATTCTGATTCTCCTGTCCCTGCAGGAATCCTGTTCTCCACCCTGGTGTTCGGACCCGCCTGCGGCTTCATCCTCGGTTCCGTTTGCACTAAATTCTATGTGGATTTTATTTTCATTGACACAGGTGAGTTCAGCGTTCCTCGCATTTTTTTTATGCGAGGAGGTTCTTTCTGGGTGCGGACTGTTGACACGTTTCACCCCCTCCTCCACAGAGCTGGGCATCACGCCAGACGACCCGCGGTGGATCGGGGCCTGGTGGGGCGGCTTCCTCCTGTGCGGTGCCTTACTGTTCCTCTCGGCCCTCTTCATGTTCGGCTTCCCTCACTCGCTGCCGAAGAAGGAGCGGGACGAGGGAACGGAGAGCGAGCAGGTCATGCTCCCTCCTCCCCTCAGCCCGGACTCGGAGACTCCAAAGCCCAGCAACGGAGCAGCGCTGAGCAATGAGCCTGTCAACAGCGCCACCTGCTGCCAGCAGCTGCGAGGTGAGCGTGTGTTGCATTTAGACACACCAAACCACATCAACAGGGTTCCTGCGGATCCTTAAAAAGTCTTAAATGGCATTGAATTTAGCTGTCCAAAAATAAGGCCTTAATTAGCCTTAAAAAGTCTTAAATCTATCTTTCAGAGGTCTTAAAAATAGGATGATTGTAATTCCTCTCAAATATTCAAAGAATTGGTAACATTTATTATTATTGAATGCCCCTCGCAGCTAGTTTTGAATAAAAAAATGGCTAAAATTGTTGCTAACTGGGGGTTTTTTCCATTTGTGTTGTGAAATTGGTCTTAAATTTAATTTCAAGTGGCATTAAAGAGGTCTTAAAAAGTCTTGAATTTAACTTGCCTTAAACTGTAGGAACCCTGCTCATATGTCTGCATTCTTATCAGAACATTTATTCTCGTTTTTCCTCGTGTTTTGGATCAGTCATCCCTAAAGTAACGAAGCACCTGCTGTCCAACCCGGTGTTCACCTGCATCGTCCTGGCAGCCTGCATGGAGGTTGCGGTGGTGGCGGGCTTTGCTGCCTTCCTGGGGAAATACCTGGAGCAGCAGTTCAACCTCACCACCACCTCGGCAAACCAGCTGTTAGGTCAGTTACATCACGTGCGTTCGACTGAATACTCCTAAAACAAACTTGTTTCAACCCACTTCCTGCTTCCAGGTATGACGGCCATTCCATGCGCGTGTCTGGGGATCTTCATGGGCGGCCTGCTGGTGAAGAAGCTGAACCTCTCCGCCCTGGGAGCCATCCGGATGGCCATGATGGTCAACCTGATCTCCACCGCCTGCTACGTCTCCTTCCTTTTCCTGGGCTGCGACACGGGCCCCGTCGCAGGCGTCACCGTCCCGTACGGCAACGAGTAAGAGAGAAACTCAGATAAAAACCTAAGAAACGGTCGCTCTCAGTGTGGCGGCCATCTTTAACCTCTGGTTTTCTWAAAGTTTTTGCTCAAAATACCATGCCGAAATGTAATTGAGTGTGTGTCAGCATTTACAAACTCTACTTAAATAATCTTGGTATCAAAATAAAGCTAACMCTTGGGGAACCATAATGAATCAGGCTAAAAACTCTTGGAAACCATAAATCTCTTGTGGACATTATCTGTGCAAAGATTCATGCTGCTAAAATGAACTGGAGCAAAATTACAGAGGTTTTAGTAAAGAAATAATTTTGCAATTTGTCACTCTGCACAGGACAGACCATGATGGTACCATTAATAAATGTTAAGAAATCTCAAGTTTTTACATCCAAAAGTTATGTTTTACCTGCCTTAAAAAAACGTGTTAATTAACGTTTGTTCTTTTGAAAATTCCCCAAACATTTATTTGTCACCATATATATTATATAAAATAATTAGAAATTATATTTGACTTCAGCTGGATCATATTTACTCAAAATCAGGTGATAAAAAACCTTTCAACACACTTTACAACATATTAAGATATCTACTTTGACTTGCTTTAAAAAAATAASKYMAWTTTTTTTCCTTTACAGATTTGCAATGACACCATTTTGTAYAGTTTGTTTACTTTCTGATTCAACTGCTTGACGTTTGAACTGCGTTTGCTGAATGTAAAAATAGTTTCCATAAGCTTTTAGCCAAGATTCTTATGTTTATTTTGATATCAAACATGTCAAAAGTCAAGTGACTGATCTGAAGTTCAAAGAAATAGAAAACGAAAAAAAAACTGTTTTGCCCCCGGTACCGGGGTCATGGGGCTCAAGAGGTTAAACCAACTTTCTCCTCCCCGTTTTTTTTTTCCTCCTTCTTCAGGACTCTTAAGGTTGGAGAGAAACCAGAGGCTCAGTGCATCAGTCACTGCCACTGCGTCACCTCCTCCATCAGCCCTGTCTGCGGCTCTGACAACGTCACCTACCTGTCCGCCTGCTTCGCCGGCTGCAACCGACGGGGCACCTCTCAGACCACGTCGAACATCCCTCAGGTCTTCACCTTTCTCTCGCTTTGTCAGAGGCAGCAGAAATCTCATCTATGGAAATGGCATCGGGATATTAATCTACCTGGTGGTACCCATGAGGAATAACCGCAATACTGTGGTTATCACATTTAAAGACAGAATTACATCCAGCTAAAAATATCCCCGTTTCTGCTGCCTCACAGCTGTAATTTTATCTTTGAAAGTGTTGATTGATTTGTTTCATCTCGTCTTTACAGAACCTGACAGGATGCGCTTGTATAGCAGCCAATGGGGAACACGACTACCCGCTTCCAGGGAAGTGTCCGATGCCGGGCTGCCAGGAGATCTTCCTCATCTTCTTGTGCGTGATCTGCCTCTGCAGCCTGGTGGGAGCCATGGCCCAGACGCCCTCCGTCATCGTCCTCATCAGGTAGGATAGTTTGTTGGAACTTCAGCCGTGCAACAAATTTTGCAATCAGTTAAAACGAGTTTTGTTCGATTCATCTTCTCCTGAAGGACGGTGAGCCCTGAGCTGAAATCCTACGCACTCGGAGTGTTGTTCCTGTTGCTGCGACTTCTCGGTAAGATGTTGTTTTTTTTCCACAGATCATCAACGTTAGTGTTTAAATAAATAAACACGAAATACGGAACAATAAGAGTTTTAATACAATCTGGAGCTTGATTGTTAAGACTTTTGTTTAGGGTTAAATAGAAATATGTTTAAACTATTTTAGGGGTTTTAATTGGAATTTGCTAAATACGTTTCCATTTTTACAGGATTCATCCCCCCTCCTCTGATTTTCGGAGCCGGGATCGACTCCACTTGCCTTTTCTGGAGCTCGGACTGCGGCGAACAGGGCGCCTGCCTGCTGTACGACAACGTGAAGTACAGACACCTCTACGTCAGCCTCGCCATCATCCTCAAGGGTGTGGCCTTCCTCCTCTACAGCACCGCCTGGTACTGCCTGCGCGGGAACTACAAGAAGTACATCAAAGGAAACGAGGACCCCCTGACGCCGACCGAGTTTTACCCGTCTCTCAATGACAGCGCAAAATCTGCTGACAGGACAAAGTTTATATACAACCTAGAGGACCATGAGTTTTGTGAAAACATGGAGTCGGTTTTATAAAAGGAGAGGTGGACTTTCACGCTCTTTTCATAGGAATATTACTCTTTTCTTTTCTTGAAAGGATAAGGGCCCGATCAGGTTCTGAATTCACGCTCCACGTGCTTTTCTAAAGGGTCCATTAGAGTTGTTTATCAGCAGATGTTGTCACATGCTACCGATAAGKTCCTGTGTGGACTTGGTGGTAAAAACAACAATAAGCCCTTCATTAGTACATGGACATATGATGCTATAACAGCCGTAGTCGATGRTTTAGGATCTGTCAGGACTCTGGCAATCTGCGTGGAAAAATACCGGGTTCCTTTCAGTCTGCACTGTGCGTTCTGTCTCTCACAGATGTTTAGATTTACGGTTTAAAAAGAAAGAACCATCTGGGTTTGGTTCTTTAGTTGTTTAAAAGTTGCCAAGTGTTTACAGACTAGTAGCCGATCAGTCGCTGTACTTTATTTAGTGCAGGATGGTTTCTTCAAACATTKAAAAAAAAAGAAGAAAAGAGACCAAAAGCTGCCCAGACTGGGTTCTTCTAGTGGCCTATTGGATGTTTCTCGTTCTCTCGCTGGATCGTAGAATCTGTTTCATTAAAACTCGCTTAGCCTAGACCGGTGGAGTCTCGTCTCACAGACGTTCAGACTCGACATGTTTCCGCGTTCCTGGCCGGTCTTTTGGTCAGATTTATCGGTTTATTTCTCACCGCTGCAGTTTTCTTATCGTGTCGATTCAGCCTAATTTGTCTTAAAAAGGGGATTTTACACAATAAGTATTCAGTTTGGGCTCCTGAGGCGAGTGGGGGAGTAATGAAGAAAATCTAAAATAAAAAAATTCAGAGTGTTAACGTTTGCTTCATTAGGAACAGCATGTTGTATTAGAATGTGCTTCGACAGAACAGTATAAATTATCTGTGTTCATTTGGGAAGAAACGTTGGGATATTTATTAGGATTATAAATGTATGTGTTATTGTTGGGAGACATAAAAAAACTGTTTTTGTCTTTAAAGTTGGCCTGTAATATTTGACGTAAAGGTTCCGGAAACAAAACAGCAGGCTGTAAACGGTGAATTTATTCCTGTATTCGACACCCGTTCCTCAACAGATCTCTCTGCAGTCACAGTTTTCACTTTGCTGGTTTTTCTTATACTTTTTTGTATGGCAATATGTTCTTTATTTTATTCTGGAAATAAATTATTTTTCAGAAAAGTCAAACAAATTTGAAGAGTTCCCTTTTTGATATCGCACCGTAATTAATGAACAGCAAACAGGAAGTGTGTGAATTATTTCACAAAGTCTAAACCACGTTTAAATCGTGGTTTTTTTAACATTTTCATCTAAATTAAAGCTGAGTTTAAATGAAAATCCTTAATTACTGGTTCTGAAACTACAAAACATAACTTAAAGGTCTGAGCTGAGAAGAATCTGAAGGCTTCTGTTCAGATGTTTTGTCATGGATTGATGGCTGCTGTAGACTATTAATAAATTAATAATTATCAAGCTGTTTGCAGTCAAGTCTGCACAAGTTGGCCGTGGAGGAGCTTTTGATTGTTTTTTATATATAACTTATGCACGTCAGTGTTATTTTTTATTTTTTTAATTTTTTTTTTTACTTTCACTGAACTGGATATACCGAGGCTCCGGTAGTTCTGTCAATCCACCAGCAATGCCTTGTTTTTAGTGGAGCAGCCATTGAAGGATTTTTCTGTTTCGTACCAAATGTTTAGTCATGCAAAACGCAAGCAAATTTTTGCTCTTTACATCTAAACTAAAAGCAGTTTTGCCAAATGAAATGAGAAACGGGGCTCAACGACGACAAACTGCAGCCGCAAATGAGTCATGGTTTCTGAGTGGGCTTCATGAAGCCTGCCCAGTGACAATACAATGTCCCTCAAATGTAAAGGAGTAAGTTAATTCAGTAAAAATATTTCCTAAGTACTGGGGAGCATAGGTACCAGGTAATTGATTTGATTTGATTTGATTTATTGATTCAACAGGAAAAGATTACTAAAAATCAAGCCTGACTCAGCAGGTTCCTGTTCTGCAGCATATAAAACACTCAGAATTACAGCATCACAATCACATCATTATTCACCGTTGACACAAAGACAAACAAGCATACCAAATTTCAGGAAGGCAGCATTTGCAAAATAGGACGTCTAAATATGAGCACAACAAAAAGTGTCCAGCAGATGGCAGACAAGAYTCTTCTTAAAGGGCTGTAGTTTTGAAATGGACTTTATGTTTTGAGGAATGTCATTCCATGCTTTAGTATAAACATAGAAGAAAGACCTCTGGCCGTAACAGTTTTTAAAAGTTGGTAATGTCAGTTGTCCTTTTGTAACAGATCTGGTTGAATGACCAATGTAGGTACTAGCATAGGTACTGTGGAACATAAGTCCCGGGGAAGGGTGATGTGGCTCATACCTGATTCTTGGAGCTGACCTAATTCAAGATGGCTGTCACAGTTAATTGATGTTAGCAAACACAAAAATGCCTAAAGCTTCGTAAATTTTACAGATATTGAACTAAAAATATTTGATGTGGGGGTATGTGAAAGTTATTCATATCACGTGGTTTGAACATACATCAAATGTGACCTATCACATCGAAACGAGGATAAAGTCCAAAGGTTTTATGTGGAGAAATAGGCAAATATAGTGTTTTGACTAAAATGTTAACAAAAATTGCATTTTGTCAAAATATAATGAATAAATGCCTTATTAATGTATCATTAGAATGAACTGTCTGAAATATAATCGTAAAACAAAAATTTGAAGCACTTTTTTGAGCAGTAGCAACAAAAAAAACTGATTTTGAAGATAACCGCTTTAAAATTTTGAGATTTTCCCTGTGAGCTAGCAAAGTTTTTTCTTTCCAGCTGAGAAATCTCAATATTCAAATATAATTTGACGTTTCCTCTTCCTAATGACATCAAAAATTCCTCATTAAAATGACAAAATTAGGATTCAGACCAAATATTTATGTATTATTGTAACCAACAAGACAAATTAAGTCATATATATGGATTTAATTATGATATCAGAATGATCCAGGTGTCAAAATGTAGCTTTTAAAGTCAAGAATCTGAAAATGTAATTAGGTCATTTTGACTAAATTTGACTTAATCCTCATTTTGATATGATGGGTCACAAATGATTTCTGAAAGATTCAGCAAAACTCCTCCAGTGGTTCATAAGATATTTAAGGACATGAACAAAACCATAATTCACCTTTTCGTGGTGAACGATAGATATGTGAAAAATAATTACAGGCTATTTGCTAAACTGTATAATTGCTAAGTTCTAATAATACTGTACATCACAAGTTTGTCACACAGCTGCAAGAGGAGCAGCCATTTTCTAAAACATGCTATAATTATGCTAAGCACTTATGAAAGGAAAGCAAATATGCTTGAAAAAAACAAGTGTTTGTGGTTTTTTATGTCTGTTTGGTCCTGCAGGTGCTTGAAAAGTCCCAACAGCACTCTTATCCAGACAGGAAGAGCCTGCATGTGTCAGCAGGATCACTAGAACCGGCCTCGGCTGACAGTAATCTGTGGTTCCCCTGATTCACGTCTCAGATCCAAACTGCAGCTCCACGGCGTCCCCGCTGAAAGTCGAATAAATCCAGCGGTGGACAGAGACACAGCTGCAGGCCGGACTTTGACAGATTTCCACTAAAAGAGACAGTCTCTGTAATGAGGGCTTTATTGAAACGAATTGTTAGGCGACAAATCAAGCAGCAGGGGGGGATGATCACTGAGCGGGTAAAGGGTTAGTTCAGATCTTTTTGGAGCAGGATTCTGGTTACAACCCGATTTCATAATACTCTAACACTTCAACCTGGAAAGGTCGAATTTATTTGGATATTTTTCTAAATGCCAAATCAAACACGTTTATATTAAGTGCACCAAGATTACCATGACTAAATCTGACAATTATAGTTTATTCATTTATTTATTTCAGCTGGGTAAATGCGATTGGTCCTGTCATTGTGTGCAGTCCCAAAGCTCCAGCTGCACTGTTCAGTTTATGTAAATCAGACCTTTTCCCCGTCGTCGATGAAACACAACTCGCTCTTTAATGTATGCATGAAATCTGAAAGCAGGCCGACCTGTCACTGTCCATTCGTTTTGACTACAGAATCCCTCGTTTGTTGGCAATAAATGTCAATGACCCACCGCTACGTTTCAGTGCCACGTTTTACGAAGAGTATCAGACATATGTGAGGACGTAACGCACTGAGGGTGATGATGGATAAACCGGTAAGGAAGAGGAAATGTTCAGGTGGTTTATAGGTGTTTATTCAAAAACGTTAAGCATGAAAAGTTAAATGTGACCCATCACATCGAAATGAGGATTAAATCAAATTTGGTCAAAATAAATCATGTTTTCAGATTCCTGGCGTTAAATCTACATTTTGATGCTTAGATCATCCTGATATCATTAGTAGATCCAGAGATATTATTTAATTTGTCTTGTTGGTTACAATAATACATAAATATTTGATCTAAATCCTAATTTTATGTAAATTTAATGAGGATTTTTTTGTGCAATTTGAAAAAATAAACCTCAAATAGTATTTGAAAATTGAGATTTCCCAGCTGGAGAGAAACAAATCTTTGATGGCTCACAGTGATAATCTCAACATTTTAAGGTGTTTTTCCTTCAAATAGGGTATTTGGTAGCTAATGCTCAAAAAAGTGCTTCACACATTTACATCATTACTGGTCTGGGGGTGTGCCGAAGCAGTCAACCAACTGGGGAGAGACAACAGTGTCACTGTTAAATGGGGACATACTGGCATTAATGGTTGTGAGAGAGCTGCTGGCAGTCAGACCTGTCACTGCACGGTCCGTACCATCAGCTCGTTTCCACATGTGCTGAGAGATATACTTTTGGATTGCCAGTTAATGCTGTCAATTTAGGAAAAAAATATTAGAAATAATTCTTTCCATACTTAATTATAAAGG